CCTCTCTCTCTCTTTCTCTCTTTCTCCATATATATATATATATCCCTACATAAAGAAATCAAAATTGTATGCATTATTATATATCATCAAGAAAAACAGCGTTATATATATTTTTGTTATTTGTTTTTCTTTTGGTGTCTTACAAATTGGTGTACCAAAGAATGTAAATTTAATTCACTATCAAGACAAGTTTCCACTCTAAATGATTGTTGTGAGAAGCCTGAAATGTCGGTTAAGGAAGACTGGGATACCTCATGAGAGTACTGACTGAGCTGTCATTGATGATCAGTATTTGATAGATATACTAGAATTCATCCACAGGTTTTCCATCCCTTTTCCTACGAAGTAGGCTATGAAGTTTGGTTTTGAATCATTTAAATTCTGCCTGACATTTAACATAAGATTACATTCATATCCAGGTCTTTACACACTATACTTTAAAAAAATCTCACTTATATACTTAATATCTAAGGAGCACCAGCCTTCTTTCCTCTCATTCAGTATATTTCTTAATTTAAATGATAAAGCACTATACATCAAGGTATAACACTCATAAACCTAAATCATAATTTGACTTATCTCTCTTCATACTTCTCCTGTCATATGAATTATGGAGACACATTGATGTAATCCCTAAATCAAAGCACACAGATAACACTGACACACCTCACTGAAGACCCTCCTCATTAGTCAACCACCATTGTACCACAATCAATGAGCATCAGTGGTGGAGTTGACATTTGCTTGTCGTGTGGATTCCATATGCCTATCCATGATGTCCACTCACTTCAAATTCAACTTTCACGGTCTTCATTGAAGATATTTCTACCAGGCTTGTGGCAGCATTTTTGTGATATCTTTGTTTATGGATGTAGCATTTGTACATTGCAAACTTTGGGAGCCACTAGAGTCATTTCCCTAGAGAATAAACCTAACATGGTATCATCTCAAACCACCAATAAGCTCCTTAATATTTTCACATATCCCACCGACGTCTACGTTCATCTTTATTCTCTTATCCTTTTGTTTCTTAAATCTTCATATTTCAAGACACTCTCCCTTAGGCACTCCATCATGCAATATATATCACTTTGGGGATGTTCATGTGATGCCTGTTTATTTCCAATTTGTTTGAGAACTTATTTATGTAGCTATTCATTTTTTAAAAAGTTCTTTGAATTCACAGTACCTCTGTTTATTCCTTCTTAGAAACTGATGAAAACATCACTGTGCCAAAAAGAATACGCATTGACAACTGGGTATACCAGTCCTCCCCATTCCTCAAATGTACCGTTATGTAAACTGAGGCAAATGGCTTCATCTTTCTGAATGATAGTATACACATATATCAAATAGTATAATAATATATGCCGGACTTATATTGTTCTTACCAGGATCCAATAACATAATGAACAAAAAGAACTTTTGTAAGTTAAAAACATATTATACAAAGACAAAGCGCTCATCAGAGATGCCGATACTTTAGTGTTCCACGACTAACTGAAAGGTTATCAGTTCAAATTCACTCAAAGGTGCTTCATAAAATAGTCTTCTGATGTACCACTCATCACTACTGAAACTCGAAAGAACACAGTTCTGCTTCGAAACATAGGGGTGCCATGAATCACAACTGACCCCATGATAAACAGATTGTAGCTTAGCAAATACAAAATTATCAGATACTGTGTGCCAATATTTTAGTGGTGCTTGTGATGGTACACTTAGTGTCTGGTACAGACATCTGTGGACAACCAGTGTACAGTGTCCCACCTTTTATAAATATTGGCTATTAACAACCACCCTC